CCTGAAAGAGTCAAGAGGGGCAGGTAAGAACTGCTTAAAAACAGAGGAGAGAGACAAGGTGCACCAGAGAGATCCCCGAGGAAAAGGGTTGAAGGGAACCAGAAGGAGAGGAGTAATTGTGAGTTGCTGGTGATGAGTTCTGAGAAGAACTGTTGAAGGACTGGCTGAAGCTGGGGAATCCTTCCAAGGCTGCAGGAAGGCTGGTGCATTGGTCCCTAGGAATGAGGGGAAGAACCAGTGTGGTCCATGTAATGTGGGCACAGAAGCAAGGGGTTGTCCCTGAAGGAAATTGAAGAGCAGCGGTGGGGCTTACAGCCAAGGAGGCATGGGAATAGAACACTGTAGGGAGCCCTTTGGTGGAAGACCTGAGTGGAGGGCCTGCAAGGGGAGCCCAGGAACAAAGGACTGATCATGGAGGGAAGTTCCCCTGAGCCGGGGTAGGACTCAGAGGCCAGGAGGCCTGGGGAGAGTGCAACACTGCAGAGAGCTCTCTAATGGGAAAGCTGACTTGGTGCAATGGAAGAAGACTTGTGGGAGGGAAGCGAGTCTTGGAACTCTCAGATAGGATGCCTGGAGAGTTGGGCCCTGGAATAGGAGCTAAAAGAACTGGGACAGAATGGTTAATGACTCTCAAGTGCATAAACTGGGAAGGGTGATCTTTGAATGGGGTTGAAGAGCTGCTGTGTTCTGACCTTGTTTTATTTTGGGTTTTTGAGAGGAGCTGTTTTTACTAGAAGGGATCCGCAGGCTTTAGCCCTTTATATGAATAAACGGGTCTGAATTTGCTGCTGTGAGAGAAAATATTCCTTTGGATGGGGCACTGCAAACGGGAAACTGAGGAAGGTGTCCTGGGAGGGCTCCCTTATGATGCACCCATTTACCGATAATTGAAGGGACAAAGCGGGTGTCATTCCCCTTGCCATTTACTTCTGACCATGGTGAGTTCAACACCCCTTGTTTGGCCCAGGGGGAAACTGAAACAAAGAACTTTGAGTGGATAAAAACCCAGCCCCTGAAACTCAGGAGAGGTGGCAGAAGGGGGTGGGGGCAGTCTCCCGCAGTGCAGACTGTCCCCTGAGTCCCAGAAGTGGGGTATGTGGGATCAGCTAGGCCTACTTAAACTTTAGGTAAAATAGGTGTAACTTCAAAGGTGCAGCCAACTCCAAACTGTGAGGCCACCACCCAAAACCCTACCCCAAGCAAAGTTTTTACACGAAAAAGGGATAAGCGCCAGAGACTCCAGGAAATCCAGTTGGGACTTTGCTGATGATTTTACATGGAAGGCACGGAGATAGCACAGTGAGGGGAGGCAGTCTAAAGCCCTAAGATAGATAGAGGAGTAGGATTTACTATCACAGTCACTTATGAATTATTCTGCAAATGAAAAGGAAGATTCTGCTCTTCCAGTTTTGCATCTATGTGATGGGGTGAGCAGGTTATCTGAGCTGAGATCTTTCATGTAGGTGTGCTAGTGAAATTTTGCCTTAAGACTCTTCATTGTTCTAGACTTGGTGTATGATTTTCAGTGACGGCTTTGAATTGGGATTTTCTTCATGCCAAGTTTAAATTTTATTTGGTGACATTCTGCTGCATTTAACTTGTATAAGTGATCCACGAAGCAGTGGCATTTCCATGGCAAGGAGCAAGACACTTCCATTAAAACTGTAAATGTGGTGCCAAAGCTGGGATAGCTTCTAGCTGTATAATAATATTTTGTCACTTTGTTTTCTATTTCACACTCCGCTTTTAAAAAACAGTGGTATGTTTTAAATTCATGCCACAATTCTCATAGTAATTCAGGCAAGTGAGAAAGTGCCTGGTGTGAAATTTTATTATAGCAGCCATACTTGGCAAAATTCAAGAGAGAGAAATATGTTTTAGAGGGTCTGCTTGTGTAAGCTGCAGATTCCTTTCATTTTCCCTTAAATATTAATTTGTGGGTTTTTTGGAGCTTTTTATTAACACAAAACATTGTCATGTTTGTTTCTGCAGAGAGGACTTTAACAAACATTGCAAAAGTAACTCTCAGTCACTTTCATTTGCAGTTCAGTCAGTTTGCCTTCTCTTCATTCAGCCAATAGTTTGCATGCACTCTTTGGCCTTGTCTACACTACAGATGCGTTGCTGACATAGCTATAGCAGCAGGTGCAGCATATGCCAACAGGAGGAGTTTTTCTGTCAGCATAGTAACACCACCTCCCCGAATGACATTATCTCTGCAGACAGAGGCACTCTTCTGTTGACACAGCTGCGTCTACACTGGGGGATTTGCTGGCATAACTCTTTCACTAGGGATATGTGTGTTTTTTCACACCCCTGACCAACACAGCTATGCTGACAAAACTATGTAGTGTAGTTCTGGCCTTTGTTATGAATAATTTTACATGCAACATGCTGTCCTGTAGTCTAGTGTGTTTTCATTTGGCCAAAAGGTCTTTTAGTACCAGTGACGGCATATCTCCCTGTATAACTTTCACATACTTTTATGTTGTTTATTTTCTGAAATTGTCATCCTTTGTCAGTATTTCTCAGATTGTGAGACTGCCCTCCCTGGGGAGATTGACTTCTTCAGAGCAAGATGAAATACAATCAAAGGGAAACAAAAGAGGAATATGTTTATTTTGTTTGTTTGTTTCTACTTAAGAAGCAGAAAAAGCAGAAACCCTATTTCCATCATATTAATGACAAGTTCTTCGTCATAGTATTTTCACAAACAGGAAACTTACTAAGAAATAGCAACTATGCCAGTACATGATGCTGAAGGACAAGAATAGGGATAGAAGAGAAGGAACAAAGGGAAAAGAGGCAGTTGGGAAAACGAAAAATGGAAGGCAAGAAAGTTTTAAAAATGATTCTTTAAGACTTACTGGTAGAGGATGGAAAGAAATCAGAGTCCTATAAAGCTTTCAGTATATGAATTTGGCTTTGTGTTTTTGTAAGTTTTGGCTGACACACATAATCAGGAAGAGCATGGTATAAATGAATAGACAAGTAAACTAACTCCCGGGAAAGAGGTAGAGGCAGCCTAGGGGAAAGCATATCCCCACAACTGCCTGTTCATAGGTACTAGTGTTGGGAGACTAAGGCCTGGTCTACACTTTGAGTGTGTGTGTGGGGGGGGGGAGGGTTGATCTAAGTTACGCAACTTCAGCTTTGTGAATAATGTAGCTGAAGTCGACATACTTAGACCTACTCACTGCAGTGTCTTCACTGTGGTGAGTCGACTGTTGCCACTCTCCCATCGACTCTGCCTGCGCCTCTCGCGGCGGTGGAGTACAGGAGTCAACAGGAGAGCACTCGGGGGTCGATTTATTGCATCTAGACTAGATGCAATAAATCAACCCCCGCTGGATCGATTGCTGACCACCGATCTGGCGGGTAGTGTAGACATACCCTAAGTCTACCATGCTAGAAGGCATCCAAAGAAATATATAACTTACCATATTAGATCAGACCAGTTATCTCTGTAGCTCATTAGCTTGTATCCCACAGTAGCCAGTACCAGATTCTTCAGAGGAAGGTGCAGGAGACCCTGCAGTAGGGATATCCTGCCCACGGGTAAGATTTCTTCCTGACCCCTATCAGTGGAAGGCTGGCTTATGCCATGTAGCATGTGGATTTCTCTCTTTCCAGAAGCTTTTTGTTCTTGTTGCTCCTTCTGACACCAGTGGCACCGTTTGCCAAGTAGTGATGGATGTTTGAGGCCTAGAAGATTGATTTACCAGTGAAGGAGAAATCAGTGACATCGAGTCAGGATGCATTTTTAATATAACTTGTTTATTTACACATGTACACCAGTCCTGGAACAGAGGCAGTCACAAACAGCACCCACATGCTCCCCCATGTATGTCAGCCAACATACGCAGACCTGGGTCCCAAGAAGCTACTCTGTCCCAAATATAGAAAATACAGCAAGAAACAAGCTCCCCTATCTGCCACAGTTTGTCTCAACGATGTCTGCATAACAAAAAGTAACATTACACCATTTTTTCAAGACTAAGAACGTGTTAAGAAAAAAACAACTTGTTAGACCATATGTAAGAACACCTCATGACTCCTGTCATAACATTATATTATTGTTATGTTTGCTATTGTAACTCTGATGGCCTTGTTGTTCATATAAATGTCTAATCATGTTTTGATTCCTGTTAATCTCTTACCCTTACCCTTGTTTGAGTACCCAAATTTTGTCACTGCAACAGTATTTATATTTAGATAGTTAAGGTTAGAAAAAGGAAATACTAGGATTAGGGAGTGAAATTCTTATCATTCAGCAAATGAATTCATTCTGGCTATGCTCATTCCCCCTTTGTATTTGCTTTTCACAAAGATTCAAACAATCAATTCTTTGCATGCAAATGTTTGTGTGAATTTGAATTTGAAAGTTAAATTTGAAATGTGCTTGCTCAAGTATTTACAGAAACTTAATTTTATACCAGCAGTGCTCATAAGATCAACCACTCAATGAACAGATACAATACCATATAGCTTATCTGAGCAATCACAAGTAACCAACACAACTTGGGAATATAGTTATGCAGGAATTGACATTCTAGTTCAAAACATTGGTCCATCTTGTCCGGTATCCTGCCTCCAACAGTGGATTTAGAGGATGGCATAAGCACGTGCAATCAACCCAGAAATGTGTTTTAAAAAAAAAAACACGGAAAAAAATTAATAACATACATGTAAGGAAATCATAGTCTTAGAGGCTAAATATGTGAGAGAGATTGTTGTGCATTGTTTGCTCAGCTCTGGTGACAAGTATCCAGTCTGAACATTCTCTTGTTTTCCTTAAATACATCTGTATATGCTTTATAAGATAGCTTTAGCATTTGGAAAAAAAATTGATATGTTTATCCAACATGTATTTTTTTACCTTGTCACTCAGGAGATGCTGTAATGTCCTTAATACAATTAATGACTTAATTCTAAAAGAGGACAAGTTAATGCAGTATTTGAGTCTTCTATTTCTCATTGCAATAATTTGTTTTTTGCAGTTACTTGTACAAGAATGAAATCCACACAATAGACCAGCACGCATTTAAAGGACTTGGATCATTGGAGCAGCTGTAAGTAACACAATGCAATTGATTGAAATGTCTGTGGTATAATTCCCTGATTTTATTTAAAAGTTAGAGAGAGAAATTGAACTGCAATTCTGTAGCCAGAGTCAGTTAGAGAGTATAATAATATGCAACAATGTATCTTCAACTGTTGCCTCGGAATGGGAGAAGATATACAGCAGGGATAACTTTTACATAGTTCACTGTGATAAAATATTAAAACATTTTCCAAATGTTTATAGTACTTTAGCTGCCTAGCTTACTAAATATGAACATCATCCTACATAGACCCAGCCAGCCAAACATTTTCATAGTCACACAGTGAAATATGAATAAAAAAATGTGGGGGAAATAACACATGAAATGATGATAGGCCTACTGATATATGCTAGTCTCAATTTTCAGTAGTTATCAGTAAATATTTTCCTTGAAAATCACAGTCATTTAAAACATTTTCCAAATTAATTATGGCTTCAAGATTACTTTTATTGCAAAATGGAGATTTTGTTTGTGTTAGGCTAGAAGATGCAGAATATTACTTATTTGCTATTGTAAAGACATCTACTATGAGAAATTACTGTAGCTACTGAGAATCATGTTTTTAAAACCTAGTAATTCTCAGGATAACATCTAATTATTGCATGAACGACTCTGCATCGTTACCTCAACAATTCTGCCTAAAAAAGCTGTTATAGACTTTAATTATTCCATAGGTTGAAAATATTATGTTCTGAATTTATTGTCCTTACATAGCATTCATTTCCATATAACACTAAAACAGATATAATACAATTAAGTAATAAAAACGTTGACTACTTTTGCGTGCTTAAATGCTTAGATGTATTGGTGTAGGTGTGCCATATGTTAATTGGAATATCAGGAGAATACAATACAACCTCCAAGCCATATCCTTATCTTGCACTTTTTCCTCAGTAAGATCTCCAATATTCAGCCTTTTCTCTCTGAACACATACTAAGACTCTCATCCAGGCCCTTGTGACCTCCAACGTCAAAGCTTTTCCTGTCACCTAATTCACGCCTTTCAGATCCATTCAAAATGCTGCTGCTAAAATTGTCTTCCTGTCACTGTAGCCATGTTGTCTCCCTTTCAAAGGCCTCTCATCAGGCCCCCTTTACCTCCATATCAAATAGTTACAAGTCTCTTGTTCTTGAGTAAAATTTTCAGAAGTGCCTAAATGAATCGAGCCCCTTCACAATTTAACACCATCATGCGTATCCTTTCTTTTATATTATATTCCCCCCGCACACCACTCTACCATTGGTACCAACCATTGTTGTTCATTTGTAGGCTTCTCCCATAAATTTCTTCATGCCTTCTTCCATGCCATCACTTATGCATGAAACACCCTCACTGAACTTATCTGTAGAGCAGCAACCATGCCCTCCTTTAAATCCCTTTTAAGGATCTGCTTCTATTGTGATGTCTCCAGTAAACTGCCAGCTGATAATGGCTATTCAGGTGCCCAGTAGAGACTACTGCCACCATTATATTGCTATCTATTCTGTGTTTATATCTTTTGAAGAGAGGAAAAATCCCCCCCAGTCCTATAAATGGTGTATATAGTCAGTCTAAGTACCTGCATCTTCATGTCACCTTCCTGCCACACCTTCTAGACTAAGTACCCTCCCCTTCCTCCCTCCAACCTGGTTTGTTACACTAGCATGTCACATTTTGCCTTAATTCCAATTGTAAACTGGTTTTGGAACAGGGACTGTCTCTCACTGTGTGTTTTGCACCATGCCCAGTGTAATAGTTGAGGCTTCTGGATACTACCATAATGTACACAATAGCATATTAATACACTCCACCTCCCCACTGCCACCTCACAATTCAGGGCAGCATTTGGCCCTGAGCCTCTTGTCATGACATTCTTTAGAAACAATCAAGTAGCAGGTTGAACTACTGCAGTCAGACTGTTAGGGTACTGTTGTTCATATAAGGTGAGTTACGTCCCATTAACTTTCAAAGGGACTTGTGCTTCCAAAGCCTTTACTAATTTTTGAAAATCTCTCCCTTATGGTATTTTGCAATTCTCTCCAGTGTATCTGGGAAAATTTTACTTCAGGAAAGCTGCCTCCATCAATTTGTTTTTTATCAACGCCCTTGCAATTTTGTGTCCGGCACAACAAAATCAGATAATTAGATTTGAGTGTTCAGTGGCTCAACATTTATCTATTTATTTTTAATCTAATCATAATTTTTCATCCGGACACTGCTGAACTGCCCAGTCATGCCGTTCTATCCCTCCAGATGTCATTGTTACCTCACAAGAGGATGCTACCCCAAACAGTGAAGAAATCTGGCAGTTTAAATTGAGTTTCTTCATTTGTCTGTGTGTACATTCTCTTTCATTCAGGAACAATTTAAAAAAATTAAAATCTGTCCAAAATGTTCAAACCTGGGTGCTTAAAGTTCAGCTTCCTAAATCCATGTTTAGGCTCCCAAATATAAAATTGGCCTGATTTTCAGAGGGCTGACTGGATTTTGGGGGGAGGGATAGCTCAGTGGTTTGAGCATTGGCCTGCTAAACCCAGGGTTGTGAGTTCAATCCTTGAGGGGGCCATATAGGGATCTGGGCCAAAAATCTGTCTGGGGATTGGTCCTGCTTTGAGCAGGGGGCTGGACTAGATGACCTCCTGAGGTCCCTTCCAACCCTGATATTCTATGATTCTAAGAGCCCAGGTTTGAAAATGTTGGCCTTTTCCTCTATGCGAAAGACAGTTCTCTATGTTATAGGGTCTGCTACAGTTATCCTTAGCTTTAAAAAAAAAAAAGTCAAGAAAATAGGCTAGTTTGGCATTTTGACAGAAGAAATCTCTCCTAAAAAGGAAGTTGAGCTTTTGAGTAAAGAACTTAATTGGCGACTTTGGACACTGGCAGATGTCCTTCAGCATTCCATTGAGGTTATGATGTCATCAAAACACAGTCAAAACACATTTTTAGTGCTACATTGCTCATTCCGTGCCCCTTCTCACAGCTATCTGAATCCTGCTCAAGTCAGGAATGGTACATGAATTCACTCAGCAGTGTCCAGTTGTCATCACCCAGGGGCATCTGAGATCAGCTCCTGAAAAATGTCCATTGTAGTCCCCTATGTCCTTTTTCATAATGGCAGAAGGAGGGTTGACCTTTCAAAATGTACAGTTAGAAGAAAATTTTGGGCAGACAGAGAGCTATAAAAACTGGGATGGACCTATCTTTTAATCTTTCCAGGAGGGGGAGACACAGACTCCCCTGCCCTTCTCCCGGCTAGGCTGCTGATCTATTCCACATCTCAAGGTAGCCGAGAGAACATTTGTTTACAGGAGCATTTGGCTCAGGATGTGAACTTGGATGACAGAGCCCAAAATAATCATGATCTGATGAAGAGACATTTAAACTACTGCAATGGGGTTGGGTGTCACAAGGAAGCTTGCGCTGCTTTTCCCAGTTTTGTTAGTGGCAGTGGGTGGTACGCAAGGGGTTTTGATGCTTAAACATTAATTGGAGGATGAAAAGAAAGGCAAAATGCAAAGGAGAATAAGCTTTTAAATGACAGGTGGGTGGAAGAACATCAGAGTTTTGCAATGCATATTCTCTCTTTCTTATGAGCTATAGTGCAGGCAGGGAGTGGAATCATTAAAACTATAAAATGTTGTTGTACAAAATATGTTTGGGTTTTGTTTGTTTAGTTTAACTTGGAGAAAAACAAATTAAATGAAAAATCCCCAGTAATAGTTTTGCTTTAAAATGCTCTGTTGTCGCCAAAAGCTTGTGCCCATTATGTAGATGTTTACTTTTAATTTTCATCTCTAAGATATTTATTTATCCACATCCAGCTGGCTTGAATAACTGCCATGAACATTTTCCTATATTTGTACAAAACCTGCTTGCCTGCCCTTGATTGGTGACAGTAGAAAAATAAATGATGATATTTTACATGCCTGTCAAAAAAAAAAAAAAAAATACTTGCCCAGAATGAATGGGTGAGTCAAATTTTGCAAAGCTCTCAGACATGTTTTTAGCTTTTGAGAGCTCTTTTTTCCAGCTGCATACTTTTCTGAAGCCACTGGAAACATTATATATCTAATACCAGTCTCCAGTCAAAACACAATTTGTAAATAGAGTTGGAAATAAAGAATTTTAATCAAAACCGAACATGGGTAAGTGAGAATAAGATCCAAACAACTTTGGCATAGACCAGTGGGTGAGTAGTTAAATCAAATTGGGAACGGAATGCCTTGGGTTTGATCTTTTTTTAATGGAAAAATATATTGTCCATTTATGAGGTATACACTGTAGTTGATCTTTAAAAGAGAGCTGCATCTATTTTACCCAGTCCAGCCATCTGAAAATCCATAATGTAAAAATTCCCCCCATCATGAACGAACTTTGAAATGTATTTAATAATATTTTTAACAAATGCATTTTCCTAAAAAGTGACTTTGTTTGCGATACTAACAGTGCAGAACATTAACACAGCTGACTGTAAATAAGTTTCCATGCTGCAGTAGTAGATTAACAGCTAAAGAGAAATTTAATTATTAAAAGTAAACATTTTTGGTGCCCTCTTAGGGTCTGACTAGAATACAATTGGAGGTGTGAGTGCAGCTCATGTAGGCATCTGCGTGCTAGTTTTACTTTAGCTAGCACAACTAAAAATAGTAGTGAAGACACAGTGGTTGTGAGACCCAGGCTAAGTATCACTGCTTCTTCACTGCTATTTTTAGCCGCACTAGCTCACTTCCAGCTCATGTAGGCATACCCACCCTAGCTTTAATCACACCTGTGATTGCAGTTTCAGAGTAGCAGCCGTGTTAGTCTGTATCCGCAAAAATAACAGGAGTACTTGTGGCACCTTAGAGACTAACAAATTTATTAGAGCATAAGCTTTCGTGGGCTACAACCCACTTCACTGTGATTGCAGTGTAACCATTCTTCAGCTGAACTAAGGGTAGCTCTATTCTGAAGGGATAATACCTATGTTCTAAGGGACAGCCACCAT